TTGGTAATGTCTGACTGGGCCTCGTGCCTCTATGTCCAACAAATTGGGCCCCGAGGTCAAAAAGGTTAAGAACCCCTGAATATATGAAATGTATCACAGCAAACATTCTAGGCATTTAAGAGCATAGTTACGAAACTAAAACAACTTACTGCAATTTCATAGATTGAAGCCTAAATACATTTACAATGGTTTTCAGGTATTAAAGGCAGCTCAGGCAGAGCGGAGACTTCGGTTCACTTCTGCGATCTTCCATCATCTCAGTGCCATAAAGGTCCAACGAGCTCTGAGAGCTCACTGGGCTTTGGAATCGGCAAAAAGACAGATCCATTCTGTCATCACCATACAGGTTTGTCATCAAACAAGAGCCAGAAGTGCACCTGTTGGTTACGTGTTTGTCTAAAAAATGTATTTCCTTTTTTTTTTTTTTAGCGATGGGTGAGAGCCAGGCAGCAGAGGAGACGATACCTGGAGGACAGGAGGAAGGTGATCACAGCACAGAGAGCTGTGAAGTCCTGGTTTGCTCGTCGCCACACGGCTGCCTCCATCATCCAGCAGGCTGTCCGGAAATTCCTCGTTATCAGACACCAGAAGAGGGTTGAACGGGGCATCGTTAAGGCTCAGGTGTGATGGTCACTACACGGTTTAAAAACACCAAAACTGAGCCTGAGTAATTTATTTATARTGATGCTGGTATTGCATGCTGTTTATGACAGATTTTTATTTCCTTTCCTCCTGGTTCAGGCTCTGTGGAGAGGACACCGCTCCCGCCAGTTGAACGACAGCGCAAAGCTTGTGAGTTTGAGGCACCGCCTGCGTCTGACCTCTGCTGAAGTCCGAGAGGAGGACAAACTCTGCAACAAGACCACGTCTGCATTGGACTACCTTCTTCGATACAAACACTTCTCCTATATTCTAGATGCCCTGAAAAACCTAGGTAGGACCTGGTTCTGCATTAAATATGACTTATGAAGTAACGCCAAAAAATAAGTCCAAGTAAAATTTAAGCCGTTTAAAGATGAAGGTCAGTGGTTTTTATAGTTTAAATGGGAAACGTCATATGGAGAACTATAAAAACAAATAGGAAGCGAACTGAGTAAACCGTAAATAAAGTTTTCGTAACCATGCATATTTTGTAAAAATTATTAGATTTTTATTCACATGGTTTGAGCCAAAAAGTAAATATTACAAGGATTACTATAGATCATTTTAATTGCTCTGGGCGGTCACAGTTAATTCAGGCCAACATCTCAGGGCCGAACATCCAGAAATTAAAGTCATCATGTAAATCTACCAAGTATTACAAAGAACCGTTAGCTTTGAATTACTTTATTTTGCTGTATTTAATAATGAGTACAACATACAGATCCCTATGTAATAAAAGTAGTAATAGTAAAACTAGGGCTGGGCGATATGGCCTAAAATCAATATCACGATATATTGACCAGTTCACCTCGATAACAACAAATGTACGATAACTCTTACCACCCACCACCACATACAAGTACACGGTATAGTATAGTCATAACACTATACACTGTGTCCAAGTTCATAGTCAAAGTACACAATTTAGTATTCTCTAATGAAGCGTTACACAAAAGATTTAACCTGGACCGTTAACGCTAAACGGAGGCTCAGCTTTTCTATACTGGGGCAAACAAATGGTTATCTGAGTTAATATTTTGGAAGAGCTGAAACAGTGTCTCTCACAGAACAACTCAGTCTGTGCGCGCTGCGCTCCCGTAACAAAATAAGGCAGGTTCTCCGACATGGGCAAAATGATGTCGGTCATGAAATTAGCATCATGATACAGTATATGGGATCCCCAGTTTCGCCTATTGTTGCAAACCTGTACATGGAGGAAGTGGAAAAGAGAGCCTTGATTTCCTTTTCAGGGATGCCAC